ATAATAATAATATTATGTACGTTTGTATACACGCGACAGTAATAATATAATATGAGTATATGTGTATGCAGGTTGTTATTATATTGTGTGTAACGGACGTTTGGATTTTGATTACAAAAATTAAATTTGAAAATTCACGCGTTCCCGCTAGTATATCTAGCGACTAAACGTGCTCGGTGACTTAATCCACAACGACATCTCATGAGTAAACCCATTATTATTTATTATTACACAGTAAAATATATTATTTCGTTTAGACCCAGAACCCACCAAAACGCAACTGCAACAAACATTTTAAAAACAATTATTATTAAATATTTCTTACAGCTTTGGTAGAAGTAAAATATATATAGTGTGTGATTCATTTATTGAATAACAATCATTGTTTCAAACTTTACAAACATTTTAAAAAATATTTTTTATAATTTTTAATTTTACGTTTCAAACTATTTTGAATGACAACGTACATTTTTAATTTTATATTATGATCGGGTTATTTTTTGGAGTATTTCAATACATAATAAATTAAAATTCGGATGAGTATTTAAAATTTAGGTAAGCAGAGTAGTCCAACATTTGGCTCACCTAAGCTTTAATACCTATTAACTAATTAACTACTCTTCCAAATTTTGATTAATTATACATCGAAATACTCCAAGAAATAATCTGATTCATGATATGAAATTAAAAAAGTTTGTTGTCAAATAACAGTTATATAGTAAGTTAAAAACTTAAAAAATTATAACAATAAAATAAATAAAAATCTTTTTTTTTCAAAAAAAATTTTGATTTATTTCTACTGAAAATGATGTAAAACAAATATTTCCAAAAAATTAAAAATAATGATTATGGTTTGATAAAAAAATCGTCCACTATACAAAAAGCCAATAAGCCGATGAATAGCTTGAGATAAACACATTTTAAGCATATATTTCATAAAAGTTAAGCGATACTGCAGATAACAAGTACTATACCTATATTTGCAGGTAATTACTATTGTCTTCTATAAAATATTATAGGTTTACTATGCAGGTAGACATGTTAAGATAATATTTTGAATGAAAATATCTTGGGATCCTAAAAATTGACAGTTTTTCGTTTGATGGAGTTTGTAAACATTATGTTTGCGCAATTTAGCATAATATGTTTAAGCAAATGATTTTGAAATATTTTCGTATTTGGAATATCTTTTATATATAATACAATTTATTTTCTATTTGTAATATCTTTTATAAATAATTCAATTTATTTTCTATTTGAATTTCTTGTAGTTCTTTATGAAGATTACTTTATAATTTATATTCAGATGAGTCCGATGTGATGATTCATACTTGGTAAACTATAAACATAATAAGTAATAACACTAATATGACACATAACAACTTCACTTTTTTGACTTTTCAGTAGTCAAGTAAAATTGTTATTAATTATTGGTCGTACAGTATATAATAATTCAAAAAAAAATTTTAAAATTATCTAGTATACCTGAAATTTATAAATATTATGGTCGAAATGAAATATCCTCTCGCCATAACACATATTTATATATCATATAAATTACAACTCGCCCAGACATATATTGATTTTCTTATACAGATAATAAGGGTAATCTTTACAACATATAACGTTTTCAAAAAATCAGTCCGAATGCATCTGAATGTCCAAACATAATACCTATACCGAGAGCTATATTATACAATACCGTGGTCCATGAACAATATTAAGCGCAACGAAAATGTATCAATGCCAGTTGAAAAATTGCTAACGATTTTCGTTTTGTAACAGTATGTTTTTATAATCATGGATACATCATATATAATACATTACACGTCATATTTTAGAAACCTGACAACGAAAAAAAAAGACACCGACGTCGAGCAATGTTACCGTTACATATAATTACGATATTTCACTTTTTTATTTTGATTCATTTTCTACCGGGGAGCAATTTAATTTCGATGGGAGACGTCGCTCGTTATAAAGATCAACCCGGAGATTTCGAATCGGTCGCGCTCGTTGTTCATCTGTAGGATTCACATACATAGATACCGACCGCAACAACAATAGTCAAAAAGTATACACATTGTGCGGTGGGTACTAACAAAATATAATTTAAAATAATATACACACAGACGGGCACAGGTCGGACACATCCAACGACGGTTCGTTATATCCGTTTTATCATGAGTTTTTACTTTTAGCCACGTTAACATAATACTATCATATTACGGGACAGTGCTATGTAGTTTTTCATATCGTAAATGTGGGAAAAAAAACGCAAACGCCGCCGCTATAATAATAATAAAAAACGTGTGTGTAGCGAATAACGATAGTGCACTATGCAAATTGCAAGTATAAATGTGTATAATGATACGATGATATTATTATATTATATTATTATGCCGTGTATAAATTGCCGTACGTGGTATACATTTGCTGTAGCCGTATAATAAATAATTTTTTTTCGATTTGGCGGTTTTAAATAATTATTATTACAGGACGAATAAAATATTACTATTATAACATGGCTGAAAACGAGTAAACGTATAATATAATATTTTATAATACTGTATCTACATATACGCGACCGGCTGGAGATTTGTTTTTTCAATATATTCTCAAAACGCGCGCACACGTAGTGTTATATTAATTGGCCACTTGCGATGACGTTCCGGCCCGGACCAATATCACGTAGACGGGAAATAAAAAAAAGCAATTTTCCTAAAACGCAATAAAGTCACAGTATCTAATATATAATATACGAAACAAGCTAAAAAAATACGCGTTTAAAATATTAAATGTGTGTATGTGTATGTATGTAATGTATGACCATATTATATTATACGTTGCTCGGATTTTGTGCCGAAAACACCTATTCAAACACACGGTGTGCACTACAAGAGGAAAACAATATTTCAAGTTTACTATTGTACGTACATATTATAAGCAATATATTACTATAATATAGTAATACCTACCTGCGTTATATACGTCATCACCATCATGCGAAAATGTGGAACTGCATTAAACGCGATACTATTTTTCACCAATTCGTTCAACGTTTCGCTCGAGTTCAACGATTTTCCGACCGATATACGGTTTTATGGAAAAGACGCCTAGAGAAAAGTATACAAAGGTCCACAGTCACATAAGCGTGTACCTAATGTATTATAAATGTACTATAAAGTTTGATAACGGTGTGTGCTCAGTGCACAATATACGACGTAAGACCATTACAATATAATAGGTAACATATTATACCGCCGAGAGCGAACAATTATACGTGGTGCTCTCGCGATTATGTTTACTCTGTTCGGAATATTTACATTTTGTCTTGATCCGAAAACGTTTCACAAAAGACAAACAATACAATATTATATTATATTATTGAGGTCGAAGAATACTTTCGTTTGACTAGGAAAAACGACCGCCGACGTCTCAAAGGGTTTTTATACAATAAGAAGCAGCCCTGTCGAAATCGGCTGTAAACCGAACGAGGACTGCCAGGTGTCTTCGATGGAGCTGCAGGTACTTATACGCACACACGCACCAACGCATTATATAAATAGTATAAATATATGTGTGCGTCGTATAGGTACTCGTATATGTATAAATTATATACATATACATATATATATATATTCCTAATACACGCGTGTACGAGCGCGTACAAAAGAAACCCAACCGGCGAAAGAGAAACTGCGTATTATATGTATAGATATTTTAGAAATAACCACGACCATAGTAGACGGTAAAAGAGAGATAGACGGATCGGATCGAGAGAGACAGATCGCAATCGAGAGAGAGAGATTAACTGAAAAGGAGAGAAACGTATATATAAACCACCGCGCCGAGATTTCGGATAATCGGTACCAGGTGTGCAGCTACAGGTACGAGAATGACGAAGGTACGTAGGGGAGAGGGGTCGAGGAATAAAGAATCGTGAACGGCCGAAGAAAGAAAAAAAAACCGTGAGCCCTCCCATCTGCGTGTAATAATATATAACTTTTTTTTTGTCATTGTGGTGGCTTCGACATCATATATACCAGCAACCATACAACCTAATGTCGTTTTCTGTACGGTTGTCTGTGTACCTGTCCGTAACCATTCGGAAGATTTCGTCGGCGGCGCATAAGATTTTTTTTACCATTAATATTACTCGCTTCGTCTCCGTCTATAATAGTACCGCCGCTGCCGCAGCTCTTAGTCGTCGCAGTCATTTGTCTGCGAGTTTTCCCTCGTACACAACATATAAAACGTAGGTATATCATTATATTACAGAGCAAACGTAACGCGAATACGCAACTCTTAAAATGTACCCTCACCTTACCTGAGGTGTAGTTATGTGTTTATACAATATGACGTAATAATACACAATACTGTATATCTAGCGAGAAGAAAGAAGAGAACGGAGGAAAAACCGTTCTCCCGCTGTACTTCACGTCGGCACAGCGGCTAAATAATAATTACGACGAGCGTCTCTTCGACGAGCTCATCCTTCGAACTTTCACGCGGCGGCGATGCGGTCCAAAACGTCACTGCCATAGCCGCGTGTCAAGGAGAACCACCGCGGTAAAACTAAATACGCGATAGCCGTTGATAGGATACCGCAGATTGATGAATCATAATAATATAGGCGAATACACGCCTCTAGAAAAATAGTACAACGCATGCGTGAGCAGCTATGTATATGATCTATAAGCAACAAATGATCTATGTTAAAAAATAATAATCGTTTATTTAAAAAAAAAACAACGTCGTACGTGTGGGTATAATAAATTATTATGTCTTAACGTAATTCGTATTTTATGTATGATAATATATAATAAATTATGTATAGGGTCGACGACAAACCACAAGAAAAAATATAAAAATATAGTTCATTGAATTAAAAAAAAAAAAAAACATGGGTACATATTATGCGATACGCTTAATATATTAAATATTTTTATTTACATACGACGAATAAATAATAGTCCTTATATTATATACATGTAACAACAATAATATTAGAAAATAAAAATTATAAATTTTAATCATATGTAGTTTTCACAACAGTATATTATAATATGTATAGTGACAATGCGTAATAGTGTACGACGATGACGTCGTGGACGACGGGCGACTCAAGTTTTGACGCACCGCGAGCACGAGAGATATATTAATTGATTATCTTATACATAAATTACAATAAAATATTATTATGAGCGCATTACATTAATAATGTTTGATTTGGTATTGCAGCGATGCGCCGTGAATGTATATTATAATATATATATATCGTCATTGTCGTACCGTATTGTACTGTAGTAGTCGTTTGCGTTAAACATAGAATAGTCGTATATTCTTTTTTTTATTATTGTTTTCGGCATATTTATCATGCAGACGCAATTTAAAATAAAAAATAATAATAAAAAATAAAATAGGTTTTTCTTTGTCGCCATCGAGCAAAAAACAAACCGCATCATCACAGCCATATTTTGGGGGGAAATATAATATTTCAACCTATCTTACACTTACATTTAACTTGTTTACGGCGCAATATAGTCACAACGTCGTAGACACAGATAATATAATATATATATATATATATATTTATACTTATACTTATATACATCAACTATTACAATAATGTACAAGAGGAACAACATTGGGCATGACGCGAGTCTCCGTAACGAATGAGATCTCACGGCCAGTTTTTTCCGTTTCGTATCTGTTTTCGAAAAGTAGGAAAAATGAAATATTTTTTCTCGAAATGAAAAAAAAACGGGCCTAACCGGTCAGAGTTTTTACCGAAAATCATGATTACTGCGCATGTTCACTACGTCCGATCAAAATGATCAATCGCGAACAACGATTATACGTAGGTAGATTTGGTCACAACTTCGCTTGAGAGATGTCAGGACGGTAAAAAATCGTTCGTTTCGGGTCATCGCGATTGCGTCACACGCCGAGCACGCGGTTAAAAATAACAGAATATAACTACTGAATTACAACTAAAACAATATCAACAACAACAACAACAACAAAAATCGTGGAAAAGTAACGCGGAAAGGAACGAAACGCGCCGTAGGTACACACGATAATAAATAAAACGAAACGAAGTTAAACGGTACAAATGAGACTACGGTGTACAGGTGTCGTCGAAAGGATGTAACGACCACCCGACCCGAATTCTGAGCTCAGACGTCGGTGCCCGGTGTGGTCGGCGAAGTCCTGTTGGCGAATCTCTGCAGGGACGGCGTAGTGGGCAACACCGGTACGCCCCTCTGCCACACTCGCAGAGTCTTGACCGACGGTTGTTGGGACACGTCTTGCTGTTGCTGAACGTATTCCTGTGGATGATGGAGTTGCTGCTGCTGCTGCTGCTGTTGATGGTGGTGGTTGTTGTTGTTGTTGTTGTAATACTGTTGATGTTGCTGCTGATGTGGGTGCTGCTGTGGATGCTGACTGTACTGGGACACGTTGGTCGACGATTGATTGAGGTGATGGCCGGCGGGTATGATCGGCAGACCGTAGTCGGCCGGATAATCGCTGTTGACGCTACCGCCGCCGATGGCTTGTTGTTGTTGGGCGTAATGACCGCCGCCGCCACCGTAGTGCAATTGTTGTTGGCTGTTGTACGAGAACACTTCATCAGATCCGGTGCCCACGCTGTACGCATCGCCCGCACTTCCGGTACCGATGATCGGGGTCCGATCGTCGTACGGGCGAACGTTCCCGCCACCAGATACGGTCCTGGCTCCGCTGTAATACGACGGTGGAGGTTTGGCGGTCGAAGACATCGGCGAATCGCACATCTCCAGCCGGGATGCATCGTGGTCGTGTATCAGGTCCAATCCGGCCACGTGATACGATCCCGTAGGAGTGCAGACGGATCCCAGCCCGGGTTCCAGGTCCGGATCGTAGTTGCGCTCGATCACGGACGATATGTCTAGCGCCGGATTCATCTTGCCGCCTCCGGTCAACACGCTACTGTTACCGTATCCTCCTCCGCCACGTCCCATTGTTGCTCCTCCTCCGTTCATGGCCATCGAACCGGTGCTGGGTTTGCCACTACCGCGATTTCCGGCGGCTTCTGTGGGCTTGGTGTCGGCCGGATATCCGGTCCGTCGGATCCGCATCACGGTCAACGCGATCAACACCAATATGAACACGATGAGCGCTGCCATAGCGGCGGCCACGCCGTTAACGTGCGCCGAACCGAATGTGGACATGATGACGGATGGCCGGTCGGTCACGTAAACCGTGAAGTTGGCTTCAGAATTTCCGGCCCGGTTTTCGGCCAGGCACGAATACTGACCCGCGTCTTCGCGTCGCACGTCCGTCAGGGTCATCTCGCTCCGACGGCTGCCGTCCTCGTCGTCCACGCCGTCCACGACGAACATACGTGGGTTAGCGGACGCGGCGCCCGGATATCCGATGGCCGGAGTACCGGCGCCCTGCAACCTGCGGCCGTTGAGATACCACGCGATGTGTGCCATCGAACCGGGCTCGACTCGGCACCGGACCGTCACGTTGTGACCCTCGGTTACCTCGACGTACCGGGATTCGGCGCGCACGTCCGGTCGGCAGTCGAAGTCCTCCACGTCCAGCTCGGTGAGCGGTTTGCCGGACAGCCGGTCCGGACCGCCCGAGCACAGCGCCGGTTGGTTGTAAGGCACGTTGTTGCCGGACAGCCACAGTTTCATCGGTCGTAAGTGACAGTCGCACACCCACGGGTTGTCGTGCAGCTCGACCGACCGAAGTTTGTTGAGCGACTCGAGTACGGTGGCCGAAAGTTCGGTCAGCCGATTGCCGTTGATGCGGAGCGTCTCCAGCCTGACCACACCGTCGAACGCGTGACCCGCCACCGACTGGAGCCCGCAGTGGGACGCGTCCACCTTGACGACGGACGGACAGTCGGCGAAGGCGCGCGCTTCGATCTTCTGTATGGGGTTACCGGCCACGGACAGATCGCGTAAGTACGGCACATCACGGAAAACGTACGACGGCACGGACGTGAGCATGTTGTTCGACAGGTCTAACTCGATCAAGTTGGTCAGGCCGCGGAACGCCGAATCGTCGATCTGCCCGATGCGGCAGTTGCGCAGGTACGCCTTTTGCAGATTGGCCAAGCCTGCCTTTAAGAACGTCTCGTTGGGCAGTATCTGCAGATTGTTGCCGGACAGGTCCAGCACTTGGGTTTCCGGGTCTACGCCCATGGGCACGGTGATCAGCGCCCGATCGGCGCACTCGACCGTCCGCCGGCCACCCTTCCACTTGCAAGAGCACACGGCCGGGCAGCCCTCGAACGATCGGACGGAGGACGGCACGACCAGCGCCAGCATCGCCGCAGCGGCCAAGAACCGCGAACCGCGATTGCCTCTAGACCACAACATTTTCGCGATCGCGGTCAGTACGACGCGAAAAAAAAAAGAAAAAAAAAGGAAAGTTTAAAAAATCGATATGAAATTAATTTATCTTATCGACGAAGCGCGCACACACATACACACACACACGTTTCGATAACTCTTAATCCGCACTCCGGAAACCGCAGTGTGCACTATGTCACTGCTGCGACGACGACATTTCAGTGTTGCGCCGCTTGGAAAAGTCCGCCGATCGAAGTAGCTGGCAAGTCCGCGCGCCTTTACGCGGGCGGATTGATACGTAGAATAACAATATCTCGTGTGGATCACGCACGTCTACGACGCGAACAACACATCACTGCGACGACGATCGCGATTTCGCGTACAACGGGGGACGCAAGTACGTAACGACACCGCGGCGTAA